ACATCTGTGTACCACAACGACCCCTGTATTAGGAGTCCAGAGGTGTGCATTGGGGCTTCGGAGTCCGTTCGAAAGGTTTCCTGAGGCATGCAGATTGGAACCAATAAGCTAAGCTACATGAGGATCGCCATTCAATCGGATTCGTGAAGACGCAGGCACGAAAAAAGCCGTCACAACTGACAATCGCCAAGCCGAACTCCAGTTGCACGCCATCTGCACCGCCTTCACCGATAAGCCAAATAGTCTCCGCATGTCTTATCACTGGGGTTGTCATGTTTATCAGGTCATTCGTTTATCACTTCCTCGCCCAAAGAAACATGGTACAAAAAATTATAATAAACAAAAAGCGGGTGGAAAAACCAAGAAATCCGACGCAGTCGGCTTCGTTGAACAATCCGCGGCGGGAAAGCAAACGCATCGTCTAAATCCTTATACTCCCGCCGGTCTCAACTCTACACTCTATACCTTTCATGCTCAAGAAAAAATAGCCAGAGATTCGCGGGATTCTGAGACTGAAGCGACCCCTGAGGTGAACACAGAATGGCGGAATCCTTATGACAAACTCTATATCTGAAACAGCCAAAAAAAAAGAACTCGTTAGCCCCCGTCCGAGGCCTCTGAGTCAGATGCCAGCGAGGAGCTCCGCCGCTTCCGTCTCCCGGCCAAGCTCCTCTTCTGAGGCGTCCCGGGCTTCAGACGCAGCCAAAAGCCCACGTGAATAAGTAAGAGGGTTTAGGGTTTAGGAAGTAAGAGATTTATAGGAAGAGCTGAAAGCTCAAAGCGATGTGCGGAATGCAAAACATGCGAGGCCATGCTTGTCATAATGTCGGCCCCGCGCCACTGCTTGGGGCCTTTGAAGCCTGAGGGCTACGCCAAGACTCTGGACTGTGCTGGACTGCACCAATAGCTAGATTTCTCGCTTGCAAAGCGCCGCCGCGCTCTTCAGCCCATCTGTGGCAACCCGACATTTTGTCGAGAACTGCTAACGGAAGCCACCAGCAGCAGATAGGCAGCTAGCAGCAGCATAGGCCGCTCAAGTGTTGTTGGACTGTTCTGCTAGGCCCAAGCTCGAGCAATTCGGAAACAATTGGTGTGGACCTAAGGGCCTGTTGAGACTGGGGGCCGAATGGCGACTTCCATGACTCGGATCCAGCACCATTTTGCGCAGATCAATACCATCGACAGACGACACACCGTCGCGTTCAAGATGCTTCCAGTCAGTATTGAGCTTGTGAGATGTGATGTATACGAGCCTGGCATTGAAAGCCCGATCGTGGAGCCTAGCTGGGCACATCTCAAGGTACGCACGGGCGCACGCAGCATGTACAATGCAAGGTCATTGCAATGCTTGGCAGAGTTAAGGTTCACCGCTGTGACCAGTGTCCGAGGCTCTACAAGAGCTTCCGGAACCGCGGTCCGATTCGAAGGCCTAGGATCAACTGCTGAAGACTACAGAACCTCACGGCAGAATACTGCAGCCGAAGACAAGCCTGGAGCATCGAAAGCTTACTGTTAAACTCGACATTACTTCACGGATACATATTGGATCTGTAGGGATGCTCTGTAGAGATGCAGTGGCCTGAACCTGCCTTCAGCCCGACTCGAGAATCGAGGACGGGTCCTTCAGGAACTTGGCCAATTTCCTGGTCCTGCCAATGGTCTTCTTGTGTTGGGCGCCGTGGACAGACCGACCTGAAAAAGTGCTGCTGTAAAGGGTGAAAATAGCAGGTAAGAGCGACAACAGCGGAAAGTCGCGACTTGTCTCGACCCCCACAAATGGAGCTGAACTCCGACACGACTTCGTCGAAGCAACGCGACCCTCAGTGCCCAGTGAAGGCCGAGCCGCACTTCTCGAGCTCTTCGCGGAACAGCTGCTCTGCCTCCTCCATTTGGCCCATAAGCCTCAACAAGCTGGCCAAGTTGTACATGCTGCTCATCGTGTCCGGGTGGGAGTCGCCAAGCCTCGCCCGGCCTCGGCCCCCGCCGTCAGAGGGATTGAACGGGGCATGTGTCTACCTCCTACCTACAGGTCTCCACGAAGTCCTGGTCTAATGCCTCATTTTCCGAGTTGCATCTGGAGACAGAATAGTTACAGTCTCGTGGGGCGGGCGGGGCAATGCATCATGATCGCCTTCAAACCTTGCCGATCTCGCTCCGTGGCTATTCGTACGACATGCTCGGGATTCCACTGATTGAGGCTCCAGGATCCGACGGCTTAAGACCTCAACCTCATATGCTTCAAGCTGCACACCCAGCCTTAAGGGCGGTCTCCAGACTTTTTAGCCGGAAAAGTCAAGAGGCGGGGGAGTCGGAAAAGTCGCAGACATCTGGGGTTCTTGCTATGGCTACAAATTCAAATTGCATCCGTCACCGAATGGAGTCAATATTATGTCGAAAATGTGCTTGCCCACAAACGCTCACTGTGTCAGCCACTGCCGTGGCACAAAGTCTTCAACCACAACCCCGAAAGCCTAAGTCACCTACGTTAAATTAAGACTAACTCCACTGCACAAGTACTGGAGCTCATGACTCACAGATCTCACGCCACAGGCTCTCTGAGGCCGTGGCAGATCTCCAGTCTCTGCCGGTACAGCGGCTCGGCATCCTCATAGCGGCCCCGATCCTGCCACTTGTTACCCCAGTTGTGAGGGCCGGGGTATGGGTCAGAAAGGAACTGACACCTCCTGCCTGACCAGGATCGGAACGTTGGGTTGGACTACGTTGGGCTTTATTGTGCAATTTTTGTCAAGACTTCAAGCATTATTGCACCCTTCGGTCTGAAGCTCAACAGGGCCTGCAGCAGCGAAGCCANNTGCTTCCAGCCAGTATTGAGCTTGTGGGATGTGATGTATACGAGCCTGTCATTGAAAGCCCGATCGTGGAGCCTAGCTGGGCTCATCTCAAGGTACGCACGGGCGCACGCAGCACGTACAATGCAAGGTCATTGCAATGCTTGGCAGAGTTAAAGTTCACCGCTGTGACCGGTGTCCGAGGCTGAATGGCTACAAGAGCTTCCGGAACCGCGCTCCGATTCGAAGGCCTAGGATCAACTGCTGAAGAGTACAGAACCTCACGGCAGAACACTGTAGCCGAAGACGAGCCTGGAGCATCGAAACCTTACTTTTAACTCCACATATCTCCACGTTACTTCACGGGTACATATTGGATCTGTAGGGATGCTCTGTAGAGATGCAGTGGCCTGAACCTGCCTTCAGCCCGACTCGAGAATCGAGGACGGGTCCTCCAGGAAGTCGGCCAAGTTCCGGATGGAGCCAATGGTGTACTCGTGTTGGGCGCCGTGGACAGACCGACCTGAAAAGTGCTGCTGTAAAGGGTGGAAATAGCAGGTAAGAGCGACAACAGCGGAACGTCGCGACTTGTCACTCGACTCCCACAAATGGAGCTGAACTCCGACACGACTTCGTCGAAGCAACGCGACCCTCAGTGCCCAGTGACGGCCGGGCCGCACTTCTCGAGCACTTCGCGAAAGAGCTGCTCTGCCTCCTCCAATTGGCCCATAAGCCACAACAAGATGGCCAAGCCGTACATGCTGCTCATCGTGTCCGGGTGGGAGTCGCCAAGCTTCGCCCGGCCTCGGCCCCCGCCGTCAGAGGGATTGAACGGGGCATGTGTCTACCTCCTACCTACAGGTCTCCACGAAGTCCTGGTCTAATGTTTCAATACATTAACCATTTTCCGAGTTGCATCTGGAGACAGAAATTTGTTACAGTCTGGTGGGGCGGGCGGGGCAATCAAATCACTGCGTCAGTCCCCACAGCTGCCAAAACTGAAAGGAATGGCATGCTTCGACACAACGGTCCAATCAGCAGAACCAACCCTCCTGGTTTTGGTGCAAGGTCGCATCATGCTGCTTCCATCACCGGCTGGACAACCGCAACAACGCACCCCTTTACCGTGCTATAAGTGCTTCTCAAACAAACTAACCGGCATGGTGTGCCCTATCAAAGAAGCCTCTTCAAAAATGCCAGAACCTCCTGCGCTGGCAGTGCAGCATGGCCCCAAGTTCTCGTACCACAACTCCTGCAAGACCCCCATCGAACTCAGCGTTTGCGGATGCTCCTTACCCAACTTGGCCCGAGGCATCTCGTGTGATGCGTACTGCATCG